AGAGTATTCAGTTGCTCATGACAAATACGGCCCACCCTGCATTGGACCCCTTAGTTGGTTCAGCTGGTAAGAGTTAGATTTTGGCAGCACTTGTTTAGGTGCCAGGCATCATTGCTGCATTGCTGCCAGGGTGGGCCAGGTTGGCTTCATGATCTGGCCGTACTAGCTTCACAGCGTTGAACTAGTGCGTAGGCCTTGGGTTCAGTTTGACCACCATTTACAACCAGGCAAAGCAAGCTTAGGGGGTGTGGCCCATACAATGTTACCAACCCTTCCCTCTTTTCCCCCTTTGTTGGGGTGATTTGCAGGGCTTATTGTATTTATTGTATATATTTTGTGTGTGCATTTCAGGGCGAATAGGATATTAATAACTTTCTAAAACAGAGACTGTGGTCTACTACTAGATACTATAAAACTTCACCACACTTTACATAACTGTCTGCCTGAGTGTCTGGTTGCAAAGAGACCATAATAGAAGTGCTTATAATTTGACAGCTGTCATTATTGCACTGGCTGCATGTTAAGAATGTGACACCACCAGATCAAAATTCAAATAAAGGTTTAATACTAGAGAATCGACAAGCCATCCATGCAGTTGGTTAAAAACCAAACGACCAAACCCATAGATTAATTTTGCTAAACTGTTATTTTTTGTAAAAATTAAAGTCCTGCTTTATGTGTTATAAAAAATGGAAAGTTCAAATGTAGCAATAGTACAATATAGCTTTCCATAACAGCTAGATCCTACAATTATATGTACACCATTAAAGTAGTAAAAAGTACCATTAGTAGTAAACCATACCATTACCAGTAAAACCACACCATTAGTATGCCATTAGCAGTAAAATCACACCATTCATAGTAAACCACACCATTAGTATTGTATGTACATGTAGCATAGATGCCATTAGATCTACTAACTTTGTCAGCATTATCAGTTGCAATATGTTATATATGTGTATTTAGTCTGGTCTGGTGTGCATTATATGAGAAAGAGATACATGAAACTAAAAGAATGTAACACATTGAGGGGTTCCATCCTTTAGCCACATAATCATCATAAAGATCAAGATATTTACATGTAACTTTAATAATAGTTAGACGACAACCCTACGGTTGGTCCGTACAGATGCACTTCATCACTAAGGGCTTTGCTCAATATAAGAGGTGAGAGAGAAAGAAAGTGTGTGTATGTGTGCACATTGTGCAAGTATTTATAAGGACAATTAAGTTAAAATGATGATAATAAATAGATTTGCAAAAATTAGTCCAGCTCTATACACTAATAATAGTAAAGGTGTCTCACTAATTGTATAAATTCCACTAAAGTCTTTCCTTTGTTGATGTCATGATGTGGATAGTACCAGTCAGTAGGAACATTATTATCCATTAATACACTCAAGGTGAATCCAATTTGTGCAGTATATAACCGATGTCCTTCAACATAGCTCTGCAGTGATTGTAAAGATGAATGAGCTTTATTAAGAATTGTCTCTAATATTGTATTTGTGTCATCTTCCTGACTGTCGTAGATAAGATTTGACTTAATGGGTGGCAGTAAGCTATGAATCTTGTTTAGTATTGGTTTTAGCTCATCAATTGAGAGTGACTGTGGTTCCCTCTTAGTATCACTGAATACATTATGGTAATCAAGTAGTCTTTCCCTTAATGATGTGGTAAAGGAAGATGATAAGTCATTTCCTGTTAGAGCTATTACATGATATGATGAGAGTCTATTGTGATGCTTCAATGCAAGTAGCTGCAGTAGTGATAGTGGAATGAAGCACTTGAAAGGTGCCTCTAAAATTTAAAACAGTGGTCATAACTAAAAAATTTGAAGTCAGAATTAGCTCAAACTTTCTACATAGCATAAGGACATCAATATGTATCAGAATATATAATAAAAATTTGGGTGATTTTGGAGCCAATTTTTGGAAAAAAATATAGGCTATTAGTAACACGGTAGCGTTACTAAGTAGGATTCATCCCAAAACAATATAGCTGCCACGACTTTTGCAGCCTTGCTATACCGGGAAAATGAGCTCCTATGCTTACCAGACTTCTTAGAGGACCTTATATCTTTCATTATGCATAAATGGCCATTTATGTTAGATTTTGACCACCAAAATTTTATTAATTTTGATGTACAATGTTGCCCTTATACTGTGCTGAAAGTTTGAGTCAATTTATGAGCATTTGAACATTCAAAATTTGACCAAAAAAAACTAATGAGTCTATAGTAATAACAAAGCATAAAACCTAACATCATTAACTACTAAAAGGCCTAAAAATGTCAAAGTAGATCTAGCATTCAGCAGGAGTTTGTACTCGCTCCATTTAATTTTGTCTTTCTTCCCATTCATAATCCCAGACTGGTCCACACGTTTCCTCACTCTCTGGAGTCAACGGAACCCTCATGACACGCTTGCCATGAACAAGAAGAGACTCCATAACTGTTACTGCAGATTTTATCCTTTCAGGCTCACCACCAAAAGTTGCATCTAGCTCACGTAATAGCTTGCGATAAGTTGTGTGGAATGCTCTTGCTTCTGTGTAGCAGTTCCCAGTCAAACAATTTTTGCTTGGATTGTCTCTCATTGGCCACACACCTTCAGAGTCAAAAGGAATGTCAGCTCCACTGTATGAATAATGCTTGTCATCCTCATTCTTCACTAGTTTCTTTTGGCAGACAATTTCCATCAATTGATAATAGTGTCCTAACTGAGCCCCATGACCTACTGTGGGATCTATTGGACTAGCACCTTCTCCTTGCTCTTTTATCTCTCTAATTGCTTCTAATGCAGTTTGAGTATTTTTAACTTCAATGAGAGTACCTAGTTCTTCAGAAGGTTTCCAAGGCCATGAGACTTGAAATTTGTTGGGTCTAAAAACTTCTTTTTTTAACTGTCCAAGTTTTTCTATGCACTCCTCTATTTCAGTATAAAATTCTCCTATTGTATTGTGTCGATCTTCTAGTTCTGCATACACATCCTCAGTGACACAAGATAATTTTGGCTTCTCAAGCACCAATGGTACATCGTATATGTGTTTTATTGAAATTTTCTTTAAATGAACATTAAGAGAGGGATGTACACAGCCAGGAAGTCCTACACTTGGATATTTAGGTGCAACATCAGGACTATCAATAATAGGATGGCCTCCATTCATTGCATTTATAATGTTGCCCACAAGAGCCAAGTGCAGCATCTCTTGCATGAGGATCCCACGAATGGTTTTATATACTTGAGTATTGCATCCATCACCAATAGAGTATAGAGAAGTAATATAGATTGGTATAGTTGCCAGTTCCAATTTGAGGCCAATTTGTAACTGCTCCCTTAGATTTTCCTCGCTACACTTTCCCTGTATTTTGGGATCTTTTGAATTTTTTTTGTAATTATACAGAGGGCGCTTATCTTCTGGGCAATTTTTATTTTTCAACTCATAGTAACTTTTTGGAATTTTTAGCGTTTTAAAATAATACTTGTCAACAAAGTTTTTGCAATAATCCTGAATATTGAAAGGAATTGCTTTAGCCTGGCACACAGGTGGTTTAGCAAAATTCTCAAACATACTTACAGCTGCTATGTGGTTTGGTTCATCACATTTCAACTCAGGTAAAACTTCACTAGAATCATCTATACTACGAACATCTATGTCCTCCAATTTTTTTACTGGATTCTTTAACCATTTTAGTATCATTTTTCGCTGAGGTTCTGGTAGATCCCTAGTAACAGGCATATAACCAGCATCATTTATATCAAGGCTCAAGGATAGCTTTAATAGACATTGCAATATTTTGGGGTGAAGTGACAGAGTCATAATTGCTCATGTCGAGTATATTGTGCATGACAGGATATAGGTGATGGTATTGGGAAAATATTGGTTGGATGTGATCTACCCAAGTGTACTTCTTGTCCGGATCATATTCTGGATTAGAAAAGGCTCTAATTACTAATGAATTAAGTGAAAAACTTGCACATTGTTGGTCCTCTTCTCCTTCACTGGGACAGAAATCAAAGCCATATACTTGACCATCAATGGGAAGTTTCAATACAGAACTATCATCACAAGGAGACTTAGATCTACTATACTTTCGAATTGCACTCATTTCCTTTACTGCAGTGAACTTAAACACTGCAATTCCATTTTCATCTGTTTTGGCATTCCATTTCCACTCAGAAGGAATTACACCATCAGTAGGGAGAGCTGATGTACACGGCTTATAGGCTGCCTCTTTACATCTCACAACTTTAACATCTAAGTTAGCTACTGGTTTTCCAAATTGTGAAACAAGAAAGGGAACATTCACAGACGTAGAAACAGATGGATGAACAAAGAATGAATATTCTTCTTTTGGTCGCATGTAGTAGTCAGTCTCTTTCAGCATCAACTTTAGGTTATGCTTAGAAGAAGGCAATGCATAACAGTTAGGATAGACTTCATTAGTTTCTGAGCTCTTGTCTTGCATTAAAACCACAACCAGTGAAGAAGAGGAGAGTAGCTTTTCCTTTTGATAATAATTTAGTTCAATGTCCACTATGCCACCAGTTGATTTCAACCAGTCATTATTGCAATAAGGACCACTATGGTCATTACTACAGTAATGTATTTCATCCCCTAATAGATCTATACATTTCTGCTCCTGGTTATGCAATATACCAGCATAAAGAGGATTTAAATATCGTAGATTTCCATTCAGGTCAATTGGCAGTGAATTACTTAAGTCTATTGAAAGCAAATCTCCATTCACTTTAAATGGAGCATCATACATCCATTGGCTTTCATCAGAATTATAGCATGGATCATTAGATGGTATATTGCTTATATCAGGTGGGTACTTTATTTCAGTGTGACTTAAAAGCCTCTCTCCTCCATAATTTAAAGGTTCTGTGTCACTGCTGACTCCAATTGTCCCACTGATTAAACCAAGTGTGAAGGCAGTTTTAGCAAAATCTTCATGGTTTCTAGTATATATACTCAATGAGATAGACAACTGTAATTTTTTGTTCCCTTTTGTGCTCAATTCCTTTAACTTCTCAAGTACAGCTGATCTCCTTAAATCTCCCCATTCAATGTCATATATAGTTGTAGTTGACAATGTTGCAGAAATGAAATCTTCCATATGAAGTCTTTTATAACACTTCCTTCTAGGCCACATGCTCTGTGTTATTGAATTTGGAGTCCACTTTCCACTCAGGGCTTCTGTACCATCACTCCATACTATCCTAAACACCATTCCATATACAGTAGCAGCAGCCCCTTGCCATTCAGTATCTATGTCTACTATTTTTGCAAAAGGATGATTACCACTGTCTAAAACTGCAGCTCCAATTACTTCATCATCAGTCACTCCACTATCAGTTGTGACTCCAGTAACAAAGGTGTCTTGAATTGAGAACTCATTTGTACCAATATAGTTCCAATTACGATCAGGATCATCTTCAAATGGATCATCAATATTGGGATCAAAGTTGCAGCGATCATTATTAGGTGTAGAAGGATCTGCACGAAATTTTCCATAGAAATGAACCCTTGGAAAATCTAAGTATGATGCTTGTGAAAATGAAAAAATCCTGAAAAATATAATAATGAGTAACATTAGCAACTGTTTCTTCCAACAGCATTAACATAGAAAAGGGCATGTCATGGCCATCAAACTCACCATATAAAAGTAAGGAGAAGAAATATTGATTTAGGAGGATTCCATGATAGCAAGTTCATTGTTGATTAAAGGGCTATACTGCAGCACCAACAAGAGTAATAATGTAATTTCAGGCTTAAAGTGCTATAATAAAAGTCTAACAGAGCTGTTATATGCACATACATGTACATACATGTATATGGTTCTAATAATAACTTTCTAAAAATAGAGACTGTAGTCTACTACTACTATAGTAAGACTTCATTGGCCTCACCCACTCTTTGCATAACTGCTGCCTGAGTGTCTGTCTTTCATTTACATGTATACAAGTAATAGGTTACAAAGAGACTAAAATAAGAGGAGTGATTACAATTTGGCACTTGTCATTATTTCTCTAGCTAAATGCTAAGAATGTACCACAATAAGTGTACAAAAGTGGCCAAACTAGAATCTAGAATTTATAAAGTACATATAGTTAGACAGTAGTCTATCGCCGATACTGAACAACCAAATTGCCAATTTCTGCTCCAGAGTAAAATTGGCAAAAATTGGTCTGTACTTGTGTAGGCGGGACTGACATGCATGTGCACGTGTGTGTGCGCGCATGCGCAGAAGAATAGCACTAACCTAACGCTTGTCACTTTATCAAGTGACAACAAGAGTCAATTAAGAAGATCCTCATTCCTCTCCCTCCTTCATCTGCCTTCGCGCTCAGTCTCTTAGTAAGTTTGATCTCACGTCATCATATCAAGGAGTTGTGATGGATTCTGTTCCATTCTTACATGTGGAATATCTCGTTAAGACAGGGTTGACATATGATGAAGTTAGCAAGGAGTTGGAGAGAGTTTACCCTGGAGTTAGTGGATTGTCTCCTCGTAGCGTGAGAAGATATTGTAAGGTTAATGGTATCTCTCATTTGAATGAAAGGGAAATCGAATCTTTAGCTACAGAAGCAATAATGGAGGTATCATTTGGAATCAACAGAATTCATTATAATTTCAGTAATATTTTTCTATAGGTGGGGGCATCCTATGGCAGAAGACTCATGAGAGGATATCTATTGTCTAAAGGATTTAGGATTTCTGAAAGAAACATATCTTCTGCATTGAAAGTAGTGGATCCCATTTCATATGAAGAACGTCGTAATAATTCACTGGATCGCACAAACCCAATTCCTTATCGGCCAAGGTATTACGGGCACAAGCTTCACGTAGATCAAAACGAGAAACTGATTCTATTCGGGGTTACATTAGTCATGGCAAGAGACGGCTTTTCGGGGAAAATAATCTCTTACGGTGTCATGCCTATTAAGAATAATATTGCTATATATGATCTTATTTACAGGTAAGTTGAAGTTGGCATGTACCTTATTGCCTAGCTTAAAATTTTACGTCATTTTAGCATTATCAAATTCTATTATGTGTGGGTGATGCATGAGTGATACAACAACCAGGCATGAATATACATGTATCTATGAATAATTATCCTAAGATTTTTACACTGCATGTATACTCCTTGTTTGGTTTTTGAAATGCAATGCTTTTTTTGTTATAGTGAATAAAAAATAATTGCTTTGTGGTTAATTGTGTTTATGCATTAATTTAGAATACTAATTAATTCCTATTCCTTCCTTTACAGGAAAGCATTGCAAGACTATGGCCTATGGGACCAAATTAGGGTAGACTGTGGAAGAGAGTTTTACCTCATGTTGTTTATACAAGAAATTTTACGTCAATACTATGGTTCTTCTGATGTATGCCCTTATGTACAATCAACATCTACAGAAGTAAAGTTTCTGCACATAAAATGATCTGTTTTGTGTATGAATGAATAAATGCTATTATTTTTATCATTGAAACAAAAAGCTTATTTTTACTACAATTCATCTTTATTATACAGAACATGCCCATTGAACGGATTTGGTCTGAAGTAAACCTAAGAGTAAATTATCCGGTGAAAAGGAAATTAATTTCCTTAGTAGATGATGGGTATCTAGATATGGGAGATGAAACCACCAAGTTTTGTGTATCGTTTATTACATGCAGAGTGGTTCATGCTGGCATTGAAAGATTTGTGGATGCATGGAACGAACACTCTATTCCCAGTAAGCAGATCTAAAGTTTTGCTATGAGCATTAGCAATAGACTTGTCCTAATAACTTTTACTTTTTAATAGGATTAGGAGTTCCAAATGAAATAGCTGAATATGATGATTATATTACTGTTCTACCTCAAGATCAAATCCCAAGTGTAGAAGATGCAACTGAATACTACGAGTCTCAAGGAGGCCATTTACGTATTCAGAGTAACTTTGGAGTAGATCCATTAGCAGCAAGGCTTGACCTTATTTTGCTACGGGATCAATTGTTGTTTAATAGATTACCAAGTAATGCTGATATGTTTAGTGATGTCGTCTCTGGAAATGGCTATTTGTTACAAACAGCAATTTTAGAGTGTATAGAAGTGACTAATCGTTTTACTTTACTTATTTGACATTAAAATTCCTTATTTGAAGGAATGAATTGAGAAAAATTGTGTGAACAAAATCAACATTAAGATAAACAAAATGCAGGTTACTGTGCAAAAAAAATTAGTCAAGTCCAGGCAGTCCATAGGTACTATGTAGGTATCATTAATGATTTCCCTTTATCCTAGATAGTACATCAGCCAGTGGCTTTATTATTGGAATATTAATCACATTTTCAAGAGAGAGAGTAGCACGGCAGAGGGGACATGTTGGGTTATTAACCAACCACTCTTCTACACATAAATGACAGCCAAGGACTTCTTGACAGCAGGGTGCTTTGTAAAGTGGCTGTACTGGATACTTCATGCAAATGGTACATTTATAGGATGAAGCTACTTCGTCTACAATATCGTTTAACATGCTTAACTTTATTTTCAATGAAGCAACTTCAGCTTGCAGTAATACGGATTGATCAGCTGCAGCCTTACCAGAATGAGCTGTGGATTCTTCTAATTTCCTTAATCTCTCTTCAAGAGATTCTACAGTTGCTTTGGCTCTAGGTTCTTTAGATGCCCCTGAACTTTTATAACCTTTGTGGTAGTCTTCTTGTAGAACAGCTCGTACTTTTTTAGCTGTCCTCCAAAATAATGATCCTATGTAAACAAATATCACATTAAATATATCCACACAACTATGTGACTGACATGTCTGATGTCATGCATTGGGGAAAAGAGCCACTCCATCTGTTGTGTAGCAAAGGGAGGCGTTTATGGTAGTTATAACTGACAAATATTACTGTTTTATTACCATTTATATTAAACAAGATTTGTAGTATATTACGCTTGTAGGTACGATTATTAACAATCAAAAGATCAACCAACAACAAAAGAATCAAACATTCATATACTAATCAAGACACAAATTAGGAAATAGTTTCACATCAACACAAAATATTAAGAAACAAACTACTACAGACAAGACATACAACCAATGATTAAGTCTAGGCATACATTATAACACACTACATTTAATTAAAATTCAGGGTTCTATAGTCACATGATTTCTGGGATACTACAAGATCTTACTCTCATATCAATTTAAAAACACCATAAAGACTAAATTTAACATATACTTAACCGCCAAAAAATGCTTCTCTCTACGTTATTGCTACACAATTTTGGCTAAGGGGAGGGAGTAAGTTCAAGTAGTCTTGCTAGCCAGCATTCTCCAGCCTACAGGCTGCAGAATGCTGGCTAGGGGTATATCTCAAGGAGTTTTGAAAAATCTACATATTAAATCAATTAAACATGCTCCACGATTAAAAATACAAAAATTAATATTATAATTATAAAGGTCAAAAAGGTACGCCAGGACACCTACTACATAAACCCCATACATTCTATATGCATGCATGCCCATGTATACCTCTAGTTGACTGAGTGTCAGGTATCTTCAAAAAATCCAAATCCAAAATAACACAGTCCTTGCCACCAAAAGCTTCATTACTAGCTATCCCACAAACTGAAGGTACAGTAGCCTTTGCTTCATTTAGCCTCAAAGGCAAGTTGCCAGTCTTCTCCCATTTATCATTATAATGAAATATTTCAATAGTTTTTGTCCATTCAAGTTCCGCAGCTATGACACCAGGAGGCTTATTTCGATGAGCTCCAGCTCCACTCCTCGAAAATGGAGCATATCTTCCTTTTGGTGTTTGCTTTCCCCGATGAAAATTTGGGTTTTGATGGTATAGATATTTAAATTTGTCATCTGTCGTAGCTTTAATGATGGCATTGCCGTGACAATACCACTCATCTTCACTCTCCAGAGTATTCTTATTGAACTCTCCATTAGCGTCAGCAGTCAGAACGTGTCCAGAGTTGCATGAGAGTAAGAAAATACTGTCAGGGAACATATCAAAAACTTTTCCCAAAAGAGTGATATTGATTTGGCTTGTTTTAATTTTCACTCGTTGGTCACTATGGCTATTACATATGTAAACAGATTTAACAGAACTTGATGAGTTTCCTCCGCCGGCAGGGAAAGCGGTGAATGGAGCCGCGGGACCGGGTACAGGACTAGGAAAGAGAGGAGGAGGAAGAGGAGGGATGGGGGAAAGAGACTCATACTCTTGGTCATCCATTGCTTGTTATCACTTGTTATAACTGTTACCACTCTAATGATACTTCACTTCTCTGTCACTGCACTCCAGCCGGCGTGGACAGTCGTGGTCTGGTGGTCTCTAACCTCTTCTGCGCATGCGCATACGTATGGCAGGGGATTTGTGTCAAAAATAGAGTGGGCTGTATCATCATTGTGTGGTGGTGCATCATCATTGTGTGGTGGTGCATCATTATTGTGTGGTGGTGCATCATTATTGTGTGGTGGTGCATCATTATTGTGTGGTGGTATGCATCATTGTGTGGTGGTACATCATTATTGTGTGGTAGTACATCATCATTGTGTGGTGCATGGTACATCATTGTGTGGACCAGGCCTGCAGGGTGGTTCACAGGTTCAGTAACCTCATTGTGTGGTGGTTCATTCATGTGGTGGTACATAATCATTGTGTGGTGGTTTAGTGGTACATCATCGGCATTATGAAGAATTATGGAGATAAAGAGCCAAAAAAGAAAGATTTAACACCCACTTGCGGGGGCGTGGCTGAGTACCTCTAGACTAGAACTCAGAGTTTCTGCATCAAAACTCACCAATTTTGTCATGATCCACTCTGTATAGCTAACAGGTAATGTTTAAGCAAGAATAAGTGTTAATTGCAAGCAGACATAAAAATTGGTCAATTTATGCTCATTTCTGGCCTTCAAGGCCAGTAAAAGGCATAGTT